ACCATTTTAAAAGAGAAGACTCGTGTCGATCTTTCAATTGCCGAACACGACGTAAACAAAAAAAAAAATGCCCAAGATGATCGTTTTTTCTTTTATAAAAGTTATCCCACCCAAAAATATCTTCATAGAACAATGAAGAACCAAGATCAGTTGTGTAAATGGTCTTTAGTCTTCGTTGAATATATTTTTTAACATAAAATTCTAAGGGTTGTTCTGAGGTAATATTGAAAAGATTATGAGCAGAAACGAAGGGGCAGCGATGCACCAGCCGAAGTCCTACACGGAATTTTTGTTGCAATATATTTTGTTGAGATTCTGAGAGGATTGGAAAAAGTGGAAACAGCCAAGCGAAATGAGGGAAGGTGAATGCGAAAAAACATTGCCGGAGAGCTTTACATGACATTTCGCGACCAGATTTCATCCATTTTAGTTTTCCTAGCGATCTCTGAATATTTTCTATCGCTTTTTCGATTGTTGGTTTCAACGATAGTTTATCCGTCCAGGTAAAACCTAGGTATTTGAATTCTCTAACTAGTTCGATTTTGTTTCCGTCTATCGTTACATTTACTATCGGTCTTTTTACTTGTGTATGAAAAAGTTGTACTACAGTTTTCGAAACATTTAACGGTTGTTTCCACTTTTTGAATATATAAGAACCTGATTACAAATTCGTGTACCTTCTTTTTCTAAGTATTCAATCATCGGGTCTAAGTTTCTCATAATGGGAGGACTAATTAATACACAAAGATCATCTGCAAATAGATGACATGAATGAGCTCCCAGGTAATTTGTTAGATCTGAATGAAACACTATAAATAAGTATGGACTAAGACTACTGCCCTGTGGAAGTCCTATATGTATCTTAAATATTTTCGAAGTTATTTCACCATATTCTACGTAAGCTCTTCTATCTTTTAACCAACTATAAATCATTTTCAATAAGTTGAGAGGCATACCCAGTCTATCTAGTTTACACAGAAGAGCGGCATGCCATACACGATCATAAGCCTTTTGATAATCGACATAAAGCGCTAGTGTCGGAATATTGGCTGCCATGTTATTTTTGACTTCCTGATATATTGACAGAACGCGAGTAGGTAGAAGACATTTTGGACGGAACCCCGATTGTTCTACGGGTACTAAACGATTTGTTTCAGCCCAGTGTCTAATTCTTAGTAAGAGCACTTTTTCGAACAGCTTAGAATGTGTAGCTAACAAGGATATCGGACGAGTTTGTTCACACTTTGGGATACCCGATTTCAACTTATTTAAGGTTATAATTTTAGCAATTTTCCAGTCATCTGGATAACGACACTCGTTTAACCATACATTAAAGCAATTTGCTAAGCACTCGATGTAACTTGGAGGAAGTTTTTTAATTATGAAGTTTGACACCAAATCAAAACCTGCTGACTTCTTTGGCTTTAACGTTTTGATTAATCGTGAGATTTCCCAAACACTAGTTTTTTCGACTTTATCTTTTGATACTAATAATTTATTTAGCAACTCTTTATATTCCATGTCTAACTGAGTTTCATGTACACTATAACAATCCAGAGCAGATGCTTTAAACTGTTCACTGTAATACTGATATAGTTCGTTTGTGATTTCTTGTTGAGTTGATATTATTTTAGAGCCATCCGAAAGTTTATAAAAAGGCAGCGTACGCGATTTGTGAATGCGAGATAAGTGTGTCCAAAACGCTTTATCTGATTTATCGTAAGACGTTTGAATGTTAACCAAAAAATTTTGCCATTGAGCATTTTTGTATTTATCAACTTCAACTTTGGTCTCTCTCGTCATTGTACGTAATAGCAACCTCGCTTCCTCATTAAAAACTCCCTTATGTCTTAAATGATAATATCTATTTCTCACTTTTCGTATTTCTTTTAATTTTTCGATGATATATTTCGGTAATGATGGTTTATATTTATCTCTCTCTTTCCAATGAGTCACTCTATTTTTGACAGCCGCGATGAAACGAATATATTGTTTGTACCACTCATCAGCACTATTTTTCTTTTGTTCTCTCATCCAGAATGTTTGTAATAGCGTTATTACTGCTTCAAATGCCTTCCAATTTGTATGAGGAAAAAAACTGTTTATATCGAAAAAAATGTTCTCACACGATAATACAATCGGCCAATGATCGCTAGTGCCAAAAAACAATGTTTCGCTTGAAATAGTACTCATATTAGAGAACGACAAATCTATATTACGTAGAGAGCGCTTAGATGAGTTGGACGTTGATGGAATATAATTGAGATTATTTTCATTAATCCATTCTTTCACGTGCGCACCTCTTCTATCAGTTATTGGACTATTCCATTCCTTGACTGTTGCATTAAAGTCACCTGATAGTATGGTACCTTCTACGACATAAGGCAAGACATCATCAAGATCACGCTCTTGACTAGTGGGCCAGTAAATACCAATGATACGTACTGGTTCTGATAGACCTGTTATATCAATGACAACTGTGTTCGGAATGTTAACCTCGATGTGCGTCGCTTTCAAATGCTTCCCTACTGCTATACATACTCCTCCATTCTTGTTAGTTCCCTTTTGATAGAACGTGTTAAAATGTGGTAATCGGCTCATGTTCCATAACTCACCAACTTCAGTAAATATACCAATAGAAGCTTGAATTTGATACACTAAATCAATAGCTTCAAGCGCACGCGTACCCCAACCTTCGACATTATAACATAGGATCTTAATATGTTCTTTTTGGGTTTGTGAAGGAGCTATTCCAACATTTCCCCATTGTTCTAAGACTGTGTTCAAGGTTCTACCAGTGTACCATTCATCTAAAAGAGATAATACTAATTTCTGATCTTTAGGTGCAAAATTCCAAGTTTTCAGCCGGTGCATAGCTTCATCTATAGGACTAAATGAATAATTCTCTGAAGCAGGAAAGAAAACTTTAGCGTGTACATTAAGATCTGACGTTCTACTTATCATTCTGTGAAGATTTGTGAACTGATGCAGAGTGTTGATCAATGTTAGTATTATGCACAAACAGTTCAACTTGCTGATTTAATTGATTTAATTGGAAACCATTTATTAATCTTGAGGACGCGACATGAAGGCGCTTGTAGTATTCGCTCGCGACTTGTACCAACGATGATCTTTCAACTTTGCTAGCAGTTAACGATGCTGGTATAACATATTGCATGAAGTCTTTCATAATATTGATAGTATCTGCTAAGACTGCTTGATGTAGCTGAATATCAAGAGTAACGGTTTTTATACTTGATGATACTAGATCAACTTTATTTTCAAGCCGTTTGTTACTATCGATTAGTTTTGTCAGATTATCATTGATGGATTCAATTGTTTTATCAGTATATGATGCTCGTAAGTCATTCGACTCAACAGTTGTACGTGGTAGCGCAGTATTCCATTTTTTATTGGAATGATTATCACTTGCTGCTAATGGTGGAAAGTCTTGCTCTCGACGTTCGAATGTAGGTGCTTTCTCTTGCGGTGAGAATCGCTGTAATAGTCCTTTTTGTATGGCATCTTCGACATCTTCCTTTAATTGATCTTTATATTCTTTTAAAACTTGACATTGACTATCCAACGAATGATGATCTCCATCACATTGAGCACATTTCGGTACATTTTTACACATATGAGGAGTATTGACATTCAGACTTTCAAGACAAATACGACATTTGCTTTCTGAGCTGCATTTGTTCCTTAAATGACCAATACGCCAACATTTCGTGCAGTACGTTAAACGATTTCCCGGATAAAACTTGGTGATCGATAACCACGAATGACCTATTGCAATTCGCCTCAGTTGCAACACAGCATTATATTCACGATAATCTTTCACTTCGAATCGATAATCATCTGTTCTTCTTTGGTATGAATAATGAATACGTTTAATACGATCTGCAGAAGCAATTGTTCGCTGAATTTCATTTGAAACAAAATTTTCATCTAATTCCCTAGGTACATAACGGACGACGAGAGTGAATGAATCTGGTATATATTTTGGTTTCACGACCACAATATCAATTCCATTTATCTTTGTTGGCCATTTATCCGAACTGACGAGAGTAGCGTAATCTTCTTTATTATTAACACCTAACTTTAGCTTTTTTCCTGCCCATCCTACTAATGTAAATCTATTGATTAAAACACCATTGGTTTGCAGTTCTTTCAGTATAAGATCACTTGCATGAAGAGCTGTTGGAATACTATTACGATTCGCATCCGAGGTGAATTCAATAAAGAAACATGGTAAATTAGACGATACCGCGTGCTTCAGTTGATTAAAAGAAATTCGTTTACGATTCGTATTATCTTGATTTATCTCTTGATGTTGTCTTACATCTGACGACATCGAAGACGATGGTTGCTGTGTTTGTAGATTAATTTCTTGTTGTACATTATGTGAGTGCTTATGTGAATTATTGTCAATACCCCTTCGAGGATATTTACGGAGGCCTCTTCCGTTGCTGATCGAACCTCCGCTTTCATCTAGAGGATGACCGCGTTTCGGTGTTGAATTCACTGGTTGCATGAGTTGTTGTTGTTGCTGATTTGACTTTGAATAATTTTTCTGCAGGTACTTGTGTACATTTAAAGCTGCTTGCGGACACTCCGATAAAAATCTTGATATAAGTTCAACTTGAACATTTGATATAGAACCTTGTTCCAGTGTCTCATATTCCTTTCCAGACTGAAGATCCTCATTAGGATCAATATTAATTGCCTCTGTCATCAGTACTCTCGTATCGACTTAGAGAGGCAGATGCACAAAGAATGTAACGATAACAAAAAAAGAAAAATGTGACTATACTTCACGAAGCAAAAAATGAGAATGACTTGTTGTACTATCGTGATTATGTTTGTATTGTGATTGATTGCGTTTAAGTGGCCAATATTTTTTCTTAAGACTTTTGCAACAAAGGCTATTTTTAATCAATAGATATCGATAAATTAGGTGTGGGTGTAGGTATATATGATGAGAACATCCACTAGCATACATGCATCCATACCAACACCCACACCCA